AAATGGACAGGTGAATCTTGTTTCGAACCTGTGTAGCGACGACACGTGGCTCTGTATTCTAAGCACCCTTCGCAGGGTGTCTTCGCGGGGTCTTCGACAATAAGCATAAACAGGCTCGACACGCGACCAAGTCCCCTCCCCCCAACCCTTTTTCTCCTCGGGCGACTCGTTTCGCACGAGCCCCTTATTCTCGTAATCGAGCATCTGGTTAAGAAAAGGGTGAAGATAATCGATCGGTCCGGCCGCCCCTTCGGCGACTCCTCTCGTACCTGTCCATGGGCGCAACACGTGTCGCCTTTCTAATAGAAACCGCTTGATCCACCACCATGCGTGTAACAGCTTAACCATTTATCCGGAGGTTTATAGATCTCTATGCTCGACGAGCGATAGAATATTTTTTTTTAAAAACTCACAATGCTATTGAATGAATTGCATCGATGTCAAATCTTTGATGGAATTTTAATGAATATAACAATGGAAAGATTTTTTTTCAAACTTTGGTCGCTGTAGTGAATATGAGAGTTGATATATGAGATATTTAAGTAAAGAAAAATAAATAAATGATAGGTTAAAATATAATGATGTTAACTTTCTGATGGAAATCTGTGATATCCATCAATGAAAAGTGAACATCAAACTTTTTAAATTTGTTAACATCTTTCTATAATCTTTTTTCGAAATTTAAAAGTGTACTTTTAATTAAGATCATTTGATTTCCGGGTGTAAATTACGGTTTGTTCAGGAAATGAAGAAATTGATGGAGGAATTTTTTTTTTATGTAATTAAAACAGAATAGGACAATAACTATAATTGATATATAATACAGTCGAACTTCTATAACTCGAAAATCTCTGTAAATAAATGATGTAAATTTAATTTTTTAACTCGTCATCGATCGTTCGATCGTTATCTCCTTTAACGATCTCTGAAAATAGAATTTTTTTCTTCGTTAAATTTTTTCTTTTTAAAGGAAAACATCGATAAGAGATCCACAACTTGAAAATTTTAATTCTTCGCTCGAAAAAATTCAAGTTACCGAAGTTCGATTGTAATAGTATGCTATATGTTCGATCAATGGTCGTCAACGTCTTGCAGGGGCTGTTGCAGAGCGGTGGCTACTCCTCAAGATCCAGTCATCCGCGCTCACAGTCCATGCAGGTACGACAGACCATAAAAAAAAAAAAAAAA